CCCGCATCGGGCTCCCTGCTCTGCAGGGAGCCTGCTTCTCCCTCTCCCACTCCCCCTGCTTGTGTTCCCTCTCTCGCCGTGTCTCTCTCTGTCAAAATAAATAAATAAAATCTTAAAAAAAAAAAAAATACTGCTTACAATATTCCAGGCCCCATTCTAAGTGTTTTCCATAGGATGATCTCATTTATTCTTCATTAAAGTGCTCTGAGGTATCACACAATTATAATACTATCATTCTTACCCTACTTTACAGATAATGGAACTGAGGCCCAGAGAGATGAACTTTTCCAAGGTCTCAAGTAGTGGTACTGGGATTTGAACCCAGGTGGTCTGTTCCCAGAGTATACCCCTTGACAACAATGTGTGACTGCCACTCAGTGAAGGTTCCAGTCTGATATGAATGAGTGGGATGAAGAGGGGATTTTACTCAGGAGAGTGGGAAGTGCTCATGATAGGGGGAAGCCTAGATTTGGAGGAGGTTTCCTTAAAGAACAGGAATACAAAATTACAAATACAAAATTAAGGGAAAAGTGAATGTCTACTTAAATTGAGGAAAGTAATTACAATAAATTTCAAATTTTACAACAAATTTAGAAATGCTAAAGAGTTTTACATTCAGCAATTACTCAGCATTATTCAGTAATAAACCCAGTAAAATCACAGTATTTTTATTAATAAACTGCCCACATCTTTTTCTCTACATTTTTGGCTGCATACTTGCATGTCAATAATTTTATAATATTTTTTTTTTCTGTAGAGAAGATAGAAAGATTATTCAGTTTTTCCTCCAGCATTGCTGATCAAATTTGTTTTTTATTATTGCTAGTTTAGAAAAATATCTTTCAGCTTCTCCTTTCATTATTAGTAATGCCATGTAAATATGTAAGTCTGTTGTCAACTTTGGGAAAGCATCTAACAAGTTTCTTTGAAATATGAGCTGCAAGGAGTCCAGAACACTTAGAATTTTCTCGTTCTGTGACTCATTGTAAATACTATATTTTTAAGAATTGTAAATACTCTAAAAATGAGTGCCACTTACATGTCGATGTCCCCATTGTAGTGTGGAAATGACTGCAAATTTCATAACTCTATCCTATTAAGTTCGAACTAGATGGATTCCCAATTCAACCTTTACTTGTCCAGATTCCATAAATACCTACAACCTCTCTGGTGCTATCCATCCAAAATGAGGGAGAGTGTGAAGGAAGGCAAAGTGGAGTGGCAAAAAGTAGTGGTCCGAACAGAAGATGGTTAAACTGTTTTGCTTTGAAAATTTAATAAAATATACGATCGTGTGAACACATTGCTGGACCCTCTGTCAGTGTTTTGAAGGGGCCCATACAAGCAAGGGATTCCAAAGCTTAGCCTCCTTTAGCTTCCACGTAATTCCACCTCTGCTCTTGGTGTGTTTCTTGGATAGAATGCTGGTCCTTCTTGCTGGAGAGGAAGGAGGGATTCTGCTGAGTTGCAGCAGGAGAGAAAACTGTCCAGACTGATGACAAAATGATGACATACTTCATGGTCTTGGCTGTTGGGGGCGGCCTGGCATCATTAGTCTGTGCCTAAAGTGGATCCTTGGGCTGGCATTGCAACAATTAGTTTTCATGTGGATTTTGATTTTCCCTTTCTAGGTTGCCAACAAAAGCAAGGAGAAGATCTCTGCCAGGCCACATGGTATGTTGGCAGTGGTTAGTAATCAAATGGAAGTTTTTGTTTATTTATTAGGACAGAGAGCCATGCTCAGCCCTCTGTTGATGGCATGACAGATGGGACTCCCTGATGGCTCGCATTTGGACTCTTTAGTTTTCTCATATTAAATTGTACCTTTGGCCCCTGCTCCCCTCTCCTCCCAGGACCCTCTGCGCCATCCTGGCCAGAGAGTTCTTTGCCATGAACTCTTTCAATTGAGCCAGGCCAGCCTGGAGCAGTGGCCAGAGCAGGGCTGTGAGAACTCATGGATGACATAACTCAACGAAGTTCTGGAGCTGAGAGCTTTCTCAAAGAACATGGGGTGCAGTGGCTTCCATACTGTGTTCTGGGGAGCTGGAGGACTGTGAGGGAGCTGTGGGGGTATGAGAGACCTCGTGGACTGAATGTGGGCTCTCCCTTGTCACTTCACCTGGGGAAGTTCCACTTCTATCTGTTTTATACGTTTGAGTTCTGGATAAGAGTTTGTTGGAGACAACAGGTGTTTGTCACTGAAATGGATGATGATCACTGATCTATTTCAACCTTCCTCCACTTTGTGAAGAAAATACATCTGATGTCCACGGGGTTTATGTGTCCTCATTATGCTGACACCCTGGTGATTGGCCCATGCAGTGCAGAGCCCTGAGCTCTCCATCTGATGCTGATACCTTTTATTTCCCCAGGTGTATGTGATGGTGTCTGTGTAGACAATTCCCACTGTAGCCAACCTTGCCCTCCTGACACTCAGGGGAATACGGGGTTTTTATGCAGGCAAAAGAAATGGTACAAGATCACTGAAACCTGCCGGACTCTTAATGCCTTCAACATCTTTGAGGTAATATCTTTTTTCTCATACACAGAGGGGAGCCCCAAATTAGCAATGCATACTGTGGTCAATAAGAGAGAGGGGGAGCACGAAGCAGGGCTGGTAGGTGAGTGCTTTTTAACGTGAATAAACACCTACTCATTTTCTCTCTCTGCACAAGAATGGAAGTCCTAAATCTGGGCATCTGAAAGTCTGTGCTCTGGGCTCCCACACACTTCATGACACAAAGGAACCTGATCCTCAGCTCAGAAGAGCTGTCGAGAATGATTGTGGCCTACTTCTCCATCTTTGCTCTTAGCTCTTTACTACAAAGCCTCGGTCCTCAATGTACCCTTCTCTGACCAGCAGCATGGGCCACCCTGACACTAGAAATTTATCAGATGCACAGGACATAGATACAGTGTATATACACAGAAGCGCTCTGAAGTGCTATGCTAGAGATAGCGTTTGTTCTCGGCAGGGGGAGGGTTTAGGTGCAGTCAGCTGGCAACCTGGACCTCTGGTTTTCTGTTCACCTACCTTGGTATGGGGCAAGTTATCCCATAGCAAATGCGACTATGAAAATGTAAAATTGAAAAACATTTTGCGTGTACAATTGCGTGATAAGGCTATCCTAAATTTTTTTAAAGGTACTTTCATATTCAAAGCAAAAGTAACCTAATACAAACTTTCTTTTTGCCCTTTCTTAGACAAATTCATATTCGGTTCAGCCATTCGGAGGAGATACAATAGAAAAAGAGTATGCCAGAAAGTCTGAGACCATCACAGACATGCTGATGCAAAAGTGTCCGGAGGATTTGTCCTGTGTACTCAGGAACATTCGGCAGTCTCCCCGGATCCCGGGAAACATCGCTGTCATCGTGCAGCTCCTACACAACATATCCACGGTGCTATTGACGGGTGTTGATGAGGCGAAGATGCAGGTGAGTGACCTTGATTTGGTTGAATGACATTTTGGTGCAAAGGAATGCAGGTTCGCTGGAGTATTCTGTGGGCTTTTTAGGGTCTTTCACATCGGTGTCTGTGATGCTTGGGTAGCAAATGCTTAATAAATGTTCACCACAGAATAAACAAGGGAAAATGGAAAAGGTGAACACAACCAATACGCATTTAGAGACAGAACTTACTGGGTGCTGGGTCCTACATGGGAATCTTTTCCAACGTACATTTCGGCTACTGAACACCTCTAAGAACCATTCTGGTTCTGCAGAGAGTCTTTTCCTACTCTCACCTGTGAGTCAGAACAGGCTGCTAAAACGGAAAATAGCCGCATGCGAAGAAAACAGCCACACATGTCTGCTGCAGAAGTGTGAGGTGGACCTGGATTCACTTCTTTTATTTTTGATCTTTGAGGCAGAGGAGAAAAAGGAGGTTCAGCCTCTGGTGTCAAATTTCGATTTGCTATGTTCCTGTCCAGGGTCCTGCATACAGTTGGGACTTAATAGATGTTCGTTGCATGATGGGTCCTCTGAGCAGGGTAGGCAAGTGACTGGCTTCACCACGGTGTGAAGGGAAACTGATGATGTCAGTGAGCTTGGGGAAGGCTGCCCACTTGCCTGCCTCACAGGGAGACGCTTCATACATGACATGAGGGCAATTCCTTCCTCGCTCTATTCTCCGGCTCAAACTTCCGTGGCCTGCGAGTACCCTGGGGATCTCATTACGATGCTGATTCTGATTCACTAGCTCTGGGGTGGGCCCCGAGATTCCATACTTCTTCTTCTTCTTTTATTTTTTTTTTATAGATTTATTTATTTGAGAGAGAGAGAGAGCACGAGTGGGAGGGACAGAGGGTGAGAGAGTCTTAAGCAGACTCCATGCCCAGCAAGGAGCCCCACACGGGGCCCGATCCCAGGACCCTGAGATCATGACTCAAGCCGAAACCAAGAGTCGGAAGCCCAACCGACTGTGCCACTAGGTGTCCCAAGATTTCATACTTCTAAGAAGTTCCCAGGGGATGCCTATGCGGCTGGCTGGCGGACCACACTTTATAGAAGTGAACCCTGACTGTCCTGGCAGATTCAGGTGGTGGCTCAGTACTAACGTTGCTCCTTCGTTGGCAGAGTTACAGCGTCATGGCCAACCACATTCTTAACAGCAAAAGCATCTCAAACTGGACCTTCATCCCCGAAAGAAACAGCAGCTGTGTCTTGCTACACTCGGTCAATTCCTTTGCAAGAAAGCTATTTATAAGTAAGTATCCCATTGACATATCAGACGTCTTCATTCATACTACGGGCACCACCATATCCCGAGACAACGCTGGCAAGAATTTCACTTTTTCAATGAGAATTAATGACACAGGCAGTGAGGTCACTGGGCAGGTGCTGATCGGTAGAGATGAACTTCAGAACGTGCCCGCTCCTTCCCAGGCCATCAGCATTGCATTTCCGACTCTTGGGGCCATCCTAGAAGCCAGTCTTTTGGAGAATGTCACCGTCAATGGGCTCGTCTTGTCTGTCATTTTGCCCAAGGAACTTAAAAGAATCTCGCTGATTTTTGAAAAGATCAGCAAGTCGGAGGAGAGGAGGACACAGTGTGTTGGCTGGCACTCCCTGGAGAGCAGATGGGACCAGCAGGCCTGTCAAATAATTCAAGAAAACTCCCAGCAAGCTGTTTGCAAATGTAGGCCAAGCAAGTTGTTTACCTCCTTCTCCATTCTTATGTCACCCCACATGTTGGAGAGCCCGATCCTGATTCATATCATGTACATAGGCCTGGGCATCTCGATTTGCAGCTTGATCCTTTGCTTGATCATCGAGGCCTTGGTCTGGGGCCAAGTGACGAAGACAGAGAGCTCGTACTTACGCCACGTGTGCATTGTTAACATCGCGGCCACCTTGCTGATGGCTGACGTGTGGTTCATTGTGGCTTCCTCTCTTAGTGGTCCCGTGACACGCCACAACGGGTGTGTGGCGGCAACATTTTTTGTTCATTTCTTTTACCTTTCTGTGTTTTTCTGGATGCTTGCCAAGGCACTCCTCATCCTCTATGGAATCCTGATTGTTTTCCATACACTGCCCAAATCAGTCCTGGTGGCTGCTCTCTTTTCAGTCGGCTACGGGTGCCCTTTGCTCATTGCTGCTGTTACGGTTGCTGCCACTGAGCCCAGCAAAGGCTACCTACGACCTGAGGCCTGCTGGCTCAACTGGGACATGACCAAGGCCCTCCTGGCCTTCGTGGTCCCAGCCCTGGCCATCGTGGTCGTAAACCTGATCACAGTCACACTGGTGATTGTCAAGACCCAGCACGCTGCCATTGGAAGTTCCATGTTCCAAGAGGTGAGAGCCATTGTGAGAATCAGTAAGAACATCGCCATCCTGACACCGCTGCTGGGGCTGACCTGGGGATTCGGGATAGCCACCGTCATCGATGACAGCATCCTGGCCTTCCACATTATCTTCTCCTTGCTCAATGCGTTCCAGGTAAGTCTAGGTGCTGCCGACCCAGTACTAAGTGGGAGAATTCAGGAAGAAGCTTTGTCATCCGGAGCTTCTGCAGTGTATTTCTTTATAAAAGACAACAGGTTCGGGGTAACGTATTGAGTTAGGAAATAAGCTACTTTTCCCCAGAAAGGCCTGGGTTCAGATCTTGACTCTCTCACCTACTAATGCGTAATGATCTCTTAAGATACCTGCTTAACTTTTCTGAGCCACGTTTTTCTCACTTATAAAATGGCTATAATACTGCCCACCTTATAACGGTGTTAGGAAAATGAAATAAAACACCGAATAGGAAAGCACCAAGTACCAAGATGACCTAAAGATCATAAATAGCACAACGGCAAGGCTGAGCTCCTACTGTTTAGAAATTAAACATCACCACTTCCCCCAAATCCAGGTACCTGACTGGAGGTATTAAAATGTGCATCTTTATTATATTTCTTTCCATTTAGAATTTTTAATTCCCATTGGAAGCCATCTTATTTTAATGAGGCAAGTCATACAGAGTGATATTAAAGAGAGTTTCTTTTCTCTCACCTCTATGAATTAAGCAATGTTCAGTTTCATGTGTCTCCTTGCCAAATTTTTATGCTTATATAAAAATATATTTTGACATAATATAGGGGTTAAAAATATACATTATTATGCACCTTACTTTTTCACTTAAAAATACATAGTAGCCTCTTATGAGGTTACTATGTATAAATATGTCTCTTTAATGACTGTATAGTATTTCATATTCAATAATTCCTTACTGAAATTTCTTTTTTTTCATTGTTTTCTGTCATTGTGTACCAATGAGCCAAAGTTTATTCTACTGAATATTAAATATGTAGATAGGAACTAATTGATAAGAAAGCTTTGATTTTTCTAATGACCTTTAAAATAATCCTTTTTTCTGAATGTAGGCTTATTTGAAAATAAATGTTTTACCTGATGGATAATAGAGATTTGAAGTCAAATATTTTCTCCTTTTTCGCTTTCAAAAATGATTTCGTTTTACAATAAGCATTTTGACGCCTTGGCGAACAAGGTTAATAATAATAGGGGTGCCTCATCTTTTGAATCTCTGTTTTTATGCATTTCTATAGGAAAAAGATGAAGTGTATCCAACATTTTTTGTATAGCTTTTACCCATGTTTATGCAGCTAGTCACGGATAGGGCTGGGATAACCACCTAGTGTTCTCAAATTTCTGTTCAGCGTATGCCATGGCTGTCAGGAGCCCTTAAGGAGTTCATGTATCTACTCCTCTGCATTTCCCTTTCCTCGTCTCCCCAGGGGCCACCTTGCCTGTGAGTTTTGTTCTGGACTAGGCCGTGTGCATTTGCATTTTGGTACCATGAGCTCCTTCACCTGTGGTGACAGGATCGATCTGTAATTTCAATTCAGTTTCTGCCTTGACTCCTGCCAAGGAGGGTGGAGCTCATCTAAATGCTGGTACTGATGGAGGTGAGAAGCTGAGAGCGGGGTGTGGGTGAAGGGTAGACACTGGGGCAGGCCATAGGCACTGGTGTGCTGGGGCTGGTGTTTACTGGCTCAAGAGAAATGACTTCTATTTTCAGGAGTTTTGCCAACTGACCTCATTAAAAATTAAATATGTAAACTTGTAATTAAATAAAACAAAGGTTTTGTGTAAGGTCCTACATCCTCAAAAGGCATTACTTTCTAATTATTTGTCAACACTTTCCTATGCTCCTGAGGTCATTTGCATCTCTTGTATCTGTACGGTGGAAACACTGTATGATGATGTGTCCGTCGCTTCCTAACTCCACGTTTGGTGATGTCGCATTGCTAGATTGATTGATTGATTGATTGATTGATTGATTTTAAAGATTTTATTTATTTATTTGACAGAGAGAGACACAGCGAGAGAAGGAACACAAGCAGGGGGAGTGGGAGAGGGAGAAGCAGGCTTCCCGCCGAGCAGGGAGCCCGATGTGGGACTCGATCCCGGGACTTCAGGATCATGACCTGAGCCGAAGGCAGACGCTTAACGACTGAGCCACCCAGGCGCCCGCATTGCTAGATTTAAACCAGCCAGTGTGGGAGTATTGAACCATGGAGACTGGCAAGTGCTACAAATTAGGAGAGCTGGTTATTGCTATTTACCAGCATGTCAGTGGGCCAGGGCATCCTCGGGATGCCCAGTGTGGGAGGAGAGAAAGGAGAGCCATCAATCTGCTGAGGTGGGGGACACAATCAAGCAAGAGGAAGGAAGCAGGACAAGCCGAATCCTAGGATGAACCGAGATGAGGGGCGCTGATGGAGCAGACAGAGAAAAGAGACCCCTGAACACGTGGCGAGGTCCAGAAGATGTAGGAGACTCTTCTGGAGGTTTCCCGGTCCTAGCTCTGTTACGCTGGTTTTAAAGCTCAAACAGCCCCCTCCCCACCCCCTTTGCTAGGGAACTATTAGTATGTAGTCAGTTGCTGACTTGACTGCTTACTTTGTAATCCACAACTCCTGGTTGGTATCCTCTCTTGTATTTACTGAGAGTAACTGTGGGCCGGGTAAGGTTTTGGGGACCCCCTCATAGCTGTTTTGGTGGGAGAAAAGTAAATGTCTCAGTCCATTTGGGCTGCTATAACAAAAACACCAAGGATTGGGTGGCTTTCAAATAAACAGAAATTTATTTCTCACAGTTCTGGAGGCTGGCAAGTCCAAGGTCAAGGCACACACAAATGCGGTGTTTGGAGAGAGCCCGCTTCCTGCCTCATAGACGTATAACCATCCTCTTGCTATAACATCACATAGCAGCACGGGCAAGGGAAGTTTCTGGGGTCTCTTTTAGAAAAGCACTAATCCCTTTCATGAGAGCTCCACTCTCATGATCTAATTACCTCCCAAAGGCATGCCTCCAAATACCTTCACATTGGGTGCTAGGATTTAACAGATGAATTTTGGCGGGGGGATACGAACATTCCTTCCATAACAGTAAAGCATATATTTTAAAATTTTGGAGAATACCTTGAGATTTATCTGCTCAAATTGTGCTTTATTTACTAAAAGAAATACAAAGAAGCTGCTACCAGTGAATTTTTATCAATCAGATACTAAACCCTTGATTAATAATTTATCCACATTTTCTGAATGATGTTTTGTGTAACTTTTCCCAGGGTGGGACCAATGAAAAGTGGAATATTTCCCTGTTAGGTATTTATGACTGTACGAATGCAGGTTGCATAATAAAGCCATTAAACACACACACAGACGTGGACACAGACACACACACAAATAAATACACAGAGACACCACATTTGCTGACAGTTTTGTGTCAAGCATTATGCTAAATTTTGCAGATATGAATATACTTAGTTTAGCCTCGAGAAATTGAAAATCTTATAAGGACAGAAATTCCTCTTCGTCCTTTAGCCAGAGGAATGTATTTTTTGGAGGAGGAAACAGGCTAAAATTATGGTTCCTAGATATTTAAAAATTTTAATTCTTAGGCAAAATTCATGGAGATTCTGATTTAAAAATGTATTCCTAGTACTGAAACCAGGCCTGGATGTATTTGTCCCAAACATCTTTATACGAATGACACTTTGTAACCTAATGGACCATGCCATCTATGACATTTTCTTGGTAGACAGAGTGACAGATTTCAATAGTTATCTCGTAGGCTAAGAGTGTCACACGGAAAAGCAATCCCATAGAAGCTCTCCAAGCTTTGGAGTGCTTGCTGGACTGGCTGAATGGATAGGTATATTTAGTATGTTTTGGGGGGAATGGATGAGTTTTATGGCCGGCACCAGTCTCTGCGAAATCCTCCACCTCTCAGGTAAGCTTTTTTACAAATAGAGGTAGCCGTGGGTTTGGTATTGTTCCTGCTGAGGACCACCGGGGTGCAACGTCTTTATGGTGCCATTTACATTAAACCCAGGTGTCTTAATAGACCTCTGCCTGGGTAAGGGTTAACATTCGATTATGAAATCGAAGCAGCTTAACAAGGTGATGTCTTGTTAGCCAAAGGTCTTTATCTCATTTCTCCTCTCAGGTGAGCCAGGACCTGAGTAACCACACCTTCAGGAGAAACTGTCTAATGCATGTTGCAATCTATCACATTTTGAAAGTTGAATCTCTGAGTCTCTTTCTCCTTGTCTGAAAATGGGACAAATACGTTTCCTTCCTTCTTCCAGGGTGGTTTGGGGCCAATTCAAAGGGACTGTACCTAGAGAGGAACAGCTTCCTTTTGACTTGAATGGGGTCTGTGTTTGGATGGATAGTAAGGGATCTGAGAGCTAAGTAAGTCCCTCCACGTCCTCATATTTGCAGCATCTGTTTCTGAGCACACGTTATGTGCTTAGCAGCTCAGTCTGTTTTGGGTCTTAGTCTTCTGAGGGTCCATGCACTTGATTTTTCTTTGCAAGTTTTATAACAATCTTTGGCTATGGATGGGGAAGGAGGTTGAGAGTGTTAACAGAAGCTGAGCATAGCCACTTCTGCTTTTTTTTCCTGTGGAAGTTTCTTTCCTTATAGTTTGTCCAAGGATTCCAAGGTTGCTGTCCATGGCTGAACATCTCCTCTAGCTCTTGCTCAGACTATTATATTCTGGTGAGATATACATTGTGGTGAGCTCCTGATAAATGCAAAACACTTTTATTTTGCCCAATTTAAGAAGAAAATCCCATCATCTGGTATGGATCATGGACCTTGGTCTGTTTGATTTACTGAGGTATCCCAAGTGTCTGGCACATGGAAGATGCTCAGTCAAAATTCGTCAAATGGATGAATCTAGGTGTTGTGACCTTAAGAGAGTCAAAGATTTAATAAATTGTTTTTAGTTTAGGTGGTTTTGTTTTGTTTTGTTTTGTTTTTTTACCAGAATAGGAACTGATGAGTACTGGTATTTAAAATGGCTCTTCTTCCCTCTTCTGTCTTTCTCAGGGCTTCTTCATCTTGGTGTTTGGAACAATCCTGGATCCCAAGGTATTGTAAATTCTTCTTCTTCTTCTTCTTTTCATTATCAGTACTTGGCCCTTAAATCCTCACTTGTAAAGACCACTTATTGAGCATCTTTGACCTCAATCATTTGCACACGGCATCACTCTTCTTTATGATGCAAGTAAAATCGACCCTCTGGCAAACTCCTATGGAGCTAAGCATTTTATGTACGTCAGCTCTAACCCTTAAAACGATCTTGGGTATTCTTATTTTCAGTTTTATGGATGTGGACACCGAGACTCAGAGTGATTAAACTTGCCCATGAGCTCTACAGAAACCCACTCTAACAAGTTGAAGCCGAAAGAGAATTTATTAAGTCTCATATCATCTTTGGGAAGGTCTCTCTGGCTTGGAGGCTCGGAGGCTACATGCCAGGGACAATTCCCAATCTAGAGCACAGAACTAGACCCCGGTGCTCCTCCCACTTCCCTGGGCACAGATAGCACAGCTCACCAGGCCCATGTCAGGCAGCAGATGCTGAGCTAGAATTGCTGTTCCTATTGTCTTGGAGGTCACCGCCCCCTAGCCTGTTGGGGTCCACTGGCACCTGCTTGTTTGCACTGTCATGTCTGATTGGCTGAGTCCAGGTCAGATGGCTGCACCTCCGCAGCAGGGGAGGTTGGGACAGTGAGTTCCACCTTAAAGAGCAGGCGACTCAGGGAAGGGAATTTTCCAATTGCAGATTGAGTGTGTATAGGTGGTGAAACGAAACATGCATGAAATATCAAAAAACGAAACATGCGTGAAATATCAAAAAACGAAACATGCGTGAAATA